TTATCAGTGCCGATTCAGGATCATTATCAAGATTTTTTAATCTGCCGCAGATGTTTCATTAGAAAGTATGTCGCTATCACTTACTAGATTCTATCAGAAAATCTATGAATAAAAAAAATCTAATAATTTTTAAGAAACTTTCTGCGACAGAATTAACAATTTCTTCGATTTGATCCGAATCAAAGACAAAAACTGTTCACCAACGAAGACGCAAAAAGACAAGTCCAACAAACTAGAATAAATTTCTCGACAATCCTCTAAAATTACACGCGACCCCAAAAAAATTGTCCTTTATTCCGATTTTTTGTTACAATCGCGATCTATGGAGGACAACAAAACTGAATCATCGAGAATTATCATCGAGAATAAATTTCTCAACGATCCTCTAATCCTTACTTCTCCGATGTTGCAACTCCCTCTTTCTTATCAAGTTACAATCTCGAGGGAGGGTGCCCGCCCAGCGGCTCGAAAAAACGGGACAAGTCGTAAAAAAAATTGCACGGCGCCCTTTGTGCCGAGGTTACGCCGTTACATATGCGGCCGACGATCGCGAGAATCGTTACCGGTATAAGAAAGCACAGAGAGGAGCCCCATTCGCAGGGGGCGCGTGTAAAAACACGAGGCCTTTACACTGTCGAGGGAGCAACAGCAACAGCAGCAACACCGTCGTCGTCGTCGTCGTCGTCGTCGCGAGGCTTTTATGGGATTACAAGCGCGGCGTTGTGTTTGCCCCTCCACCCGGGCAAAATAATGTCCCAAGGCAGACAGGAATTCGCGATGTTATTACCGGGTACCGGAAATGGAGGTAACGTGTCCGCGCTAATAGGCATCCGCTGACATGAACGATCACCGAGCGTGGCTCGGCTGTCTTCCATCAGACCCTCGCAAGTAGAGGACCGAGTTTTGATCCGCCTCGTTCCGCTGCATCGATCATCGTTTTCCTGCCGCTTGCAGCTCCGCTTTGATAAGAGCGGAAATTCGTTGGGGTGGCGCGGTGGTGTGAAGACCGGTCGGATTGAAAAATTTCTGTACGAGTTGTTCAAGTTGGATATTAATAGCTGTGCGAGAGAGAGGACGATCTCTTATTCGATTTGATTTCTTTCACGACGTGGCGGAAAATTGACCCTTTTACCGCGAAAAAGTATCTCAATTTAATTCAACAATTCGCGAAAATTTCTTCTCCTCGTTTAATTTAATTCACGCGAATAATAATTTTATAATTTCGATAATTTTGTTGGCGTGAAACGAGTTTAATGCCAATTATTTTCTTCTTTCTTTTCCTTTTCTCCGTCAAAGTGTTTTACAACGTAAAATCGTATCCTTCGTGCGAAAATTAATTAGACGAAAGTGAAAAAAATAGGAAAGATCTCGAGAAATGAATCGGTAATGCTTCGTTGATAATACGAGTACACGCAACGTATGCCAACGTATGCCGAAAATTAGCACACGATTGAACCGTCTGCTACATCTACTTTTAACGTGAATCCAGCACACGTATCCAGAATTGAATCTATTACACGCAACGTACACTCCAACGTACCCTGTTTCCAATACCCGTTTCTACAGTGTTGGGCAAAGCAATTATATATAGATCGAGCGTAAGGTATACAACACACACACAGGTAGAATCTATATATCGAAAATGCAATCGCGTAATCGTTGCAATTAGTATCGGTGCAATCGGTGCGATTACAATCGCGTTCATTCACTCGACATCTATTTAACAAACTAAATAGAAGCGCGTACAAGCAAAAGAAATATGGATAATCTCTCTTCCCCATTGCGATTATTGTTTATTCTCTGCAGTGGTTTCGAACCGCGCGAAAGAAATTGCCCGACGTAAACCCGGTTGGCGAACCGCGAAATAAGCGGTTTTTACGCGGCTGCAACTGCGAATGGTTTCCCGCGCTTTTTGTGTTTCGACCGCACGAACCCCCGCGGAACACCGGGGATAGGCCATTTAACGAGGCTGGGTTGGTCAGGTTAGATTAGCACCGTGTCGAAAACTTGGTATCGTTGGAAAAAAAAAAAAAAAAAAGAAAACAGATCCCTCTGCTCCAAAATTTATCCGCTTTTCGCGTAATTATATATATATATGATTCGACTCTCTTCACTTCGTGAAAGGAAAAGGAAACTCGATCTTAATTTATTTTTTTTTCCTCTTTTCTCTTTCAAAGAGACTGATAAGGCAAGGCTAGAAGAAGAAGAAGAAGAAGAAGAAGAAGGCTTTTTCGCTTTTCAAGAGTTTTCGTTAATACGAAGGTAAGTTTAAACTCAGTGGCAACAGCCCCGATGGCTTAAACCAAATGGCCGCCACTTTAAGACGTAAACTTGTAGCCACCGCATGAACATTTTAAGTTATCGCCACTTTAAACTTTAAACTTGCCCAGCCGCCTACGGAAAACTTATCAATTAGTAAGTTTGTATGTACTCAGATTGTTCTAAACCTGCAATTAGAAGTTGGTGGAAAGTAGGGAGTCTAAACGTTATAACTGGAACTTGGTAAATTCCCGTTTTATTATCGAAAGTATCGAGCGTTTTAACGCGTGTACCGTTCATAAACCAAACACCAATTCAACGAGTGGCAAAGTTTTCTTTTCTTTTCTTTTCTTTTTTTTTTTCTAATAAGAAGAATTAACCAAGAGAAAATTTTATAAAACGTTCGAAACCTCGAGCGAAACGAATTTTAATCAAAGACGAATCGCAGCCTCGATAAAATTTATTCAAAGTACAAACTGAAAGAACAGATACAAGAACACGGTTTAACGACCAACGTATGAAGAAAATTTCATCAACCAAAAACGATTCCTCGAAGTTAATCGTAGCTAATCATAGCTCCCCCGAGACACGATTTTCAAAAATTCAATTATCGTGTCATCGATTCAGATTATCTTAGAATCCTCCTATTCCCTTTTGCATATTTTGCAAAAAACTTCCCGATATCTTCCAGGTTCACAGTGCATCTGTCGTGCGGCCACGATCCACCAGGTGCAGCAGATGCGACGGAATCCTACACGACTGGCATACATAATACGATTGTTGTTGTTACAAATACTTGTATTCCAAATGTACTCTCTCGTGTGACGCGTTAAAAAGGAGAGGCGATGTGTAACAGGAAGGACTGAGAAAACGAGAAATTATTTAGTCCAAGGAGAGAGAGAGAGATCCAAGTAAAGGGAAAACTTTGTTGCTCGCCACCTGATCGATGGGGTGAAATGATGGACGATGAACGATGATCGAGAAATACGAAGAATCGCGTGGGATAATCTCGTGGGAGAGAGGGGGAGATTCGGAGAAGTGATTAGGAAAACATTAATTAATTAGTTCGTATAAAGAGAATGGATTGTTGTCGTCCGTTTATGCGATGTATGAAACGGTAGAACGGTAGAAATATTTTAAGCAAAAGATGATACGAGATATCTCTCTTTTTCTTCTTTATTTTCAATTCTATTCTAAACGTTGCGTGAAGTCTCGTATCCGAAGTAGCAAGTTGCTGAAAATAACGAGGAAAAAATATTCTTACACCGTTCGTGATGTGTGTGTATATTGTTTCTTGAATCGAAATTATTAAATGGTATATCAATGCCACGAACGAAGAAAGAGACACTAGTTGAAATCGTCCAACAATTAATATTTCAATTACTCGTATAATTGAACATAAAGGATCCTATTAAAAATTAAACGAAATTTTCTTTTCCACTTTTTCCATCTATTTTAATCTGCGCATATGAATGTATTAAAAAAAGAAGCAGAAGAAGAAGAAGAAGAATCTCATAATCCATGGAACGAAGAAAGGAGGGAAACGAACTAGGAAACGCGCGAGCGAATCGTGCGTTTCCGGTATACATCCGAAAGGCCGGACGTCACACAGACGGGTGCTCATTAGGAATCATCGACAATGCCGCCGCGGGTGACCATTTAAACGATCCACTTGATAGGATGTTTCCTTGCAAAATTATTAACATCGGATCGAGCCGTTCGTTCGCCCACCGGAAACCCGTGTTAAGACACCGCACGTCGGCTCTCTTTCCCTCCCCCTCTCCTCCGTCCCCTCTTCCGCCCACTCTATCCGCTCTGCATTAACTAATTAGCGTTTAATTAGTTAGAGCGTCGCGACGCCAAAGAAAGAGAAACTCGCCTCCCTATAATTACCCGGTTTTTGATTCATTCCTCCGTATCATCCCTATCTTTGCCTCGCCTACCTTTCCTTCGTTCAAAGTATTAGAGACATCGATCCTTCGAAAAGCGTTTTTGAACTGTCGAAACTGCGCGATGCGATTAAAAAAATGGATTGTTGTCGTCGTTCTTTTTTTCTTTTTTTTTTTTTTTAACGAATAACAAGAAGTGGCACGGTTCGCGGACGGGGAGAGGCGTCTCTCTCTCTCTCTCTGCGAGGGTGTGCAATTTCTGAAAACGTCAACGAGCAGATAAGGAGTGACGTTATCATTAAGCTAACAAGAAGATTATTAAATCGCAGCCTCGTTGCGCGGGCATCCAGCCTCGTTATAATTAAAAGAGGGGGGGGTGGAGGGAGAACACGAGGGCATCGTAATGGCAGTTCCTTTCTCCCGACTCCCTTCTTAATATTTTCCAACCCGATGACGACGTCGAAGGCGGATGATAAGAGGAAGGGAAGAAAATATCGTGAAAGAGGTATATATATATATATATATATATAGGCGCGGTACACTCTTATTATCGGCTCGGTTCATTATCGTCCGGAACGAGGGATCGATCGCGATAATTCACCATACATAGCTCGTTTCAAACGTCTCTCTTCCCTTTTCTCCAAAGAAGAAGAATTTCCCTTCCCCTTTCTTCCTTTCTTCCTTTTTTCCTTCTCTTCGAGATATATCAACCCTCTTCTTTCCTATATCTTCCTTCTTTATATATCTCTCCATTCAACTACCACTTCAAACACTTCATAAGGGAAATGGAAAATAGACACGATAGATAAATAAAAATCTGCGATTATTCCCCATAAATTCTTTTCGTTTCAGAAGGATCGAAGCACGAGGAGGATCGCGTTGACGAACGGAGGAGGTCGGCGATGACGAGGAGGAGGAGAAGGTGTTCGAGGGAACGGGGGAGAAAATTTTTCAACCGGGCGACACGACGCGCCCTCGAGCTGATCCTCCACCTTCTGCTGATCCACAATTTCGCCGGGACGGGGGGGGCCGCGGGCCAGATAGCCGAGTGCCCTCCCCCTGAAACCATCCCCGGCTGCCCCTGTTACAACTTCGACGACGGCCTTTTCCTGGAATGCGCTGGCGCCACCGAGGACACCCTGAGGAGCACCCTGCTAAGCGTTCTGAGCGTGTCCGGTGAGCGAACCGCCCTCTCGAGAACCAATTCCATTCTCCCGAAAAACTTTCTCGATACCGGTTCAATTTCCATACGTCGACGAAACGACGGAGACGCGTTGGAACACGAGAGAGTTCGTTATCATAATCCGGATAACAACGCTCACCTCACCCTTTTTTGTTCGTCGGATCAATTAACGTTTAACGGGCCGCTACGACACCGCGTTTCGAGTTTTCTCGACGAGGCCACCGTATCCCTCTGGTAATTCGATAAAAAACGACGCGCGTTTCTTTGTTCTTGTAAGCGTAACGTTCGTTTCGTACGAATGAAAACTCGATTTGCATGGATTGGGGGACAAACTGATTCGCGTATAACTGGATTTCGTTTCCCGTGTAACAGAAGTTTGTTACGTTGCGACGACGGTTTCAACGCTAATAATTTTCCCAGCCCGGATATTTTTTAACTCGAATTAATCATCGTCTCGTTTTCCTCGTGTTACGTTGCAAAGTCGTATACATATACATATAAATGTTCGATAATTGTTTGGACAACGGAAACTCGTCCAGAAAGTTTAGATAATAATAATTTGGATAAGTAGTGATAAAATTTAGCTCGGTTTCCTTTGTCCATCATCTTGCAAATTCCATAATAAATGTAAAATTTTACGATCATCGAGGGGAAAGAGAGAGGGAGGGAGAGAGAGAAAGATAAGAATCCGGCAAAGAATACTGCCAGAAATTGTTATCCCGATTCTAAGAATGAAATTAATGGGCGCGTTACGACGATTATTTTCAGGAGCAGGTACGATGGTGCAGTCGTTGAGCGTTTACGAGTTGGACAAAAGCGTGGAGGAGTTGAAGGAGGGCAGTTTCCCGGCTGGTTCCCAGATCAGGCATCTACAGATATCCCACTCCTCCCTTCGAGAAATTAGCGAGGGCGCGTTCGCGAATCTCAAGGACAGCCTGGAATCGTTGGCCCTGCTCTCCAGCCGTTTGCTCCACGTGCCGCAAAAATCGTTGGCCGATCTGCGTAAATTGGCCGCCCTCGACCTCGAGGCCAATTTGATACAAGATTTGTCTTCCTATTGCTTTTACGGGTTGAAACTGATGAAACTTACTCTCAAGGGTAATCAGATATCAAAGATCTCCGAGTACGCGTTCGCGGGATTGGAGGACAGCCTGAGCGATCTCGACTTAACCGAGAACAAGCTGAAGCTGTTCCCCATGGCGCCGTTGAGAAGATTAGAGAGCCTCGCCTCGCTGAGGCTCGCGTGGAACGAGATATCGGAGCTGCCTGACGATAGCTACAGCCTTCTCGGCTCCCTATTGATCCTCGACTTGAGCAGCAACAATTTTGAGAAATTGTCCGAGGACTGTTTACGATCGTGCCCTATCCTCCACACTCTCTCGTTCTATTACAATTCTATAGAGACGATCCACAAGGACGCGTTCGTCTCGTTGAAGGAGCTCGAGTCGATCGATCTCAGTTACAACAAGATCGTGTTCCTGGACGTGGCCACGTTCAAAGGGAACGAGAGATTGAGAAACATCGAGTTGAGCAACAATCACATTCATTACATAGGCGGTGTGTTCGCCAGGTTGCCCGAGCTTCGAGAGCTTTATTTGGCGGAGAACAACATTCTGGAAATCCCGGGGGACGCGTTCATCGGGAGCGTGAGCCTGGCCGTTGTCTATCTTCAACAGAACGCCATCAGAAGGATCGACGGGAGAGGTTTGACCGACCTCAACCAATTGGCCCAATTACACCTGAGCAACAATTACATCGAGAAGGTGCCGCGAGAATTCCTCGAGCACTGCGAGAATCTTTCCTCCTTGTCCCTGGACGGGAACAAGATCCACGAGCTTCAACCGGGCACGTTCTTAAAATTGCACCAACTCAGGGAGCTGCGGTTGCAGGACAATAACATAACCGAGGTGAAATGGGGCGTCTTCTCGCCCCTGCCCTCGTTGCTCGAGCTCCACTTGCAGAACAACGCCATCACGGATATGGAGACAGGGGCGTTGAGTACGTTGAACAGTCTTCAACACGTCAATCTCCAAGGAAATCAGCTCACCGTTCTGGGGGACGTGTTCCAACTGTCCGCCTCGGAATCCTCCTCCGGTGGTAGCTCGTTGGTCTCCATTCAATTGGACAGCAACGGTCTGGCCGTGTTGCACAACGACTCTCTCCGTGGCCAGGCATCGGTCAGAATCATGTGGCTCGGCCATAACAAACTGACGCATCTCCAGGCGCCGTTGTTCAGGGATTTGCTGCTCGTCGAGAGACTCTACTTGACCAACAACTCGATATCCAGAATAGAGGACGGCGCCTTTCAGCCTATGCAGGCGCTCAAATTTCTCGAGCTTAGTATGAACAAGCTCAGCCACGTCACGGCGAGGACGTTCTCCGAGTTGCACGAATTGGAAGAATTGTATTTGCAGGACAACGGTCTAAAACGGTTGGATCCGTACGCCTTGACCGCTTTGAAGAAGTTGAAGGTACTGGATCTCGCCAACAATCATCTCACCGTCCTTCACGACGCCATATTTCAAGAGGGTTTGCCGATCAAGACACTGAATTTAAAGAATTGTTCCATCGTGAGCATAGAGGACGGAGCTTTCAAAGGGCTCGACAATTTATCCGATCTGAATCTGGACGGCAATCACTTGACGGTTTCCGCGTTGTTGAATCTTCGCGTGTCGGGTCTTCGAACGTTGGCCGCATCCGGGAACAACTTCAGTCAAATATCGGAGCGCAGCTTGAACGGGTTACCGTCTCTCCAGGAACTGTATCTGGACAAAGCGCATATCTCACAATTACCCGAGGTTGTATTCGTGTTGAATCGGAACTTGGCACGGTTGCATCTGAACGAAAACGATCTACGCAATTTGCCGCCGGGCATCTTCGACAAGCTGGCTTCCCTCAGAGAGATCCGTCTCGATTACAATCGGTTCCAGGATATACCGTATTCGGCCCTTGCCAATGCCCTTAACCTCGAGATCCTCACGTTGTCCAATAATCAAATCGTGAACGTGGACGTGGCCAGTTTCGCCAGTCTTAAACACCTGAGAGAATTGGACCTCAGCCACAATCGGATCGAGACCATGTCCGGCTTCGCAACGGCCAACCTCTCGTGCCTCGTCTCCGTCGATCTCAGCCACAACCATCTGAACGCGCTCCCGGCCAACTTCTTCGCCCATTCTTCCATGCTTCGCAAAGTGGACCTGTCCGAGAACAAATTCAGGCAAATCCCGTCCGTTGCGTTGTCCGGCCAGAATCTTCCCGGGCTGACTTGGTTAAATTTGACTAGAAATCCGTTGAACAGGATTCACGTCCTCCCCTCGGAGGCGAAATACCCCGTCCTCCAAGAAGTGCACATATCGGGCACGAATCTGAGTATAGTAACGTCTCAGGATTTCGAGGCGTTCCCCGCCCTATTGCATTTGTATCTGAGCCAGAACAGCGTATCGAGGGTGTCCCCGGGTGCGTTCAGAAGCTTGCCCAACCTCTTAACCCTGCATCTGGGAATGAACAGCTTGGACATCTTGCCCAAAGAGAGGCTACAAGGGATGGAGCATTTGCGGATCCTGAATCTGACGCACAATCTGCTGAAAGAGCTGGACGAGTTTCCGGAGGACTTGAAGTCCTTGCAGATATTGGACCTCTCGTACAATCAGATCGGGATTGTGGGCAAGGTGACGTTCAAGAACTTGGTCAGCCTGGTCGAGCTTCATCTTTATGGTAATTGGATCAACGCCATCTCCAGCGAGGCGTTCAGACCGCTCAAGAAGCTGAGATTGTTGGATCTGAGTAGAAATTACTTGGAGAACCTACCCTTGAACGCGTTCAGACCCCTCGAGACCCAGATTCGGAGTTTACGCGCCGAAGGTAACTTGTTTTCGCTCAAAAATTATCTTCTTTCGTATCTTCTTTTATTCATTGAAACGACGAGATCGTTAAAAAGAAAAGAAAAGAAAGAGATGGCGCGTAAAAAATATCGACGCTCCGTTCTATTATATTTTATTATAATTTATTATTATAATTTATTATTATAATTTATCAGCCCCCGACCAAACGTCAGAGAGAGAGAGAGAGAGGGTATATAATTCTACACGTGTCCAAGCTATCGATCCAAATAGAGTTTACCGGTGTTGGAAATCCAATCATATCGCTGGTCACGTACAATCGTCTCGAATCGATACTCAACATCTGAACAATCAAACACGCTCAACCATTCCCTCTCATCCTCTCTCTTCTCAAGTCTGCAAACTAGTCCTTTACCCTGTATAATGTCCATCGCCCCTGATTCCTCTCTGCCCGAAAGATTTCCAAATTTAATGGCGCCAACACCGTGTGCCAACGTGCACAGGGATCGATCTCGCCTCGGATCGATCGATCCATTCTCTCCACCACTTATTCTCGATTCCTCTCTATTATTCCTCCGATTATTCTCGGTTTCTCTTCTCGAGGATTCTGCGACACGTGCCTCCACCCATATAAATTCCATATTCACGCACAATTAATACTCCTCTCAACGTTTGCTCGGGAATAAGGAGAAATATAAAAAAATCTTATAATCGTATATAAATAAATTTCTGATTCTCGATTATTCTTTTAATCCACATGATTCTCGTTTCTCGTTTATTCGCAGAAAATCCGTTGATCTGTGGCTGCGAGTCGCAAGAGCTGTGGGAATGGCTGAGGGATCACCAAAAGCTGGTGAGCGGGGTAGGTGGCGGTCGCGGGCGCGGGAGGAACGGCGTCGGGGTCGGTGACGTGGAGGACGGTCTTTTAAAGTGTCAGCAACCGCCGGAATTGCAGGGCCTGGTCTTCCTCGATCTCGATCCTCACGAGTTCTGTTCCGCCCCGTTGATCCTCAAACTCGCGATCCAAGACATCCAACCGTTCTCGGTCCTCGTTTCCTGGCAAAGCAGGAACCATTCGGGTCTCCACGGCTACCAAGTGGCCTATCACGCGCTGGACAACGTGGACGAGGTACGTTTCTTCTCCACGAATCGAATTCCATAAATGAATTTGTCAGTTAAATAAAGAGCCTCCAAGCTGCTCTCTAACGTGAAACTCTCGATAGATGCATGGATATTTGAATTCCTACTCCCTCCTTATAATATATATATATATATTCACAAGCTATGTTATCTCCTCCTGTTGCGCTCCTATATTTCAATTTTCATTGATCTAACACGAGACGTACATTCGTACGTACACTCGTCCGTTTCCTTGAAGAATTATTATAGAGAAAGTTATTGTATAGAGAGATTCTTTGAGATATTGTTTGAGACAGATCTTTGGAAGGAAAACAAACGCGAAAAGTTGGTACAAAAATATCGGTTAACTTATCAAGTTTGCCGATAAGTCAGCCACGCTTCGTCAAACACAAAAGTTAAATTGCCCGTAGCTAAAAACAAATAAACGGAGATACTTGAGTTTTACGTTTATCTTCGAATCGATGTCACTGCAAAAAAATGTTCGCGCGAAACTCAATACACCTCCTCTTCCTCCTTCCTCCACTCCACTCCACTTCAAGAATCTTTTAAATAATTCGAGCGGATGAAATTTTCAGGTGCGAGGGAAGCTGCTCGATCCAAAGGCACGTTCGGTAAGATTGACGAAGTTGGCCTCGGACACCAGGTACCTGATCTGCGTGCTCGGGCTGGGCAGTTGGGGCACGTCGATCCCGGAGGACATTGGCTCTTGGCAATGGAACGCCTCTCACGACGACGTGATCGAGGGCTCGGCCCGCCCCGCCATGGTCAATTCGCTCACCAGTCAATGCACGGAGGTGAGAACGTTGGACGCGCCCGACTCGATCGTAGGCGACGGGACGATGAGCGACAGAGGTGGCCTGGCCAACATCCTTACGAGGAGGCTTGGCCTGATAGTGGGCAGTTGCATGGGTTTCGTGGTGTTCGTCGTGCTCATCTCGGTGTTGGGCTACATGAAGATGAAGAAGCAAAGGTCGACCGAGAAGAGGGATCAACCGCTTTCCTCCAATCCCCAAGCGTACATGTCCTACAGGCATTTCTCGTTGCAAAGCGGAGACAGGGCTGACAACGCGTGTCCCAGTTTCATCAGTAATATCGGGACCACCCCGTTGAACTCGTAGCACAAGCCGATCGAGTCTCGAAAAGAGGCCGACCGCCGTTGCATCGAGATGAACAACTCGCCCAGGTGCGCGGGTATCTTTGGCTAGCGACTATAAGGAAGACTATAAGGGAGTATAGTGGACTACTGGCTGGCGCGGAAGGATGAACAGTTTCGATACGATGGATGTCGCCAGTTTCTCGTCCCGGTGCGCGGCTACAATTTCGCGGGGAATTTAGATTGCTCAGTTTTCCAGATGGAATTTTTGGTTCTGTTCGGGGGGGCGAAGGCGTCCATCCGCCGTGGACGCGAGCGAGCAAGGGAGAAGCAATTAAGAGAAGTGCCAAAAACTGATGCGAGAGTAGGTTTTTTTAACGAAATCCAATCGGTTATATAGTCGTTCATATCGTGACGCGCGTCTGTTAATCAGGAATGAATCGGGTGTGACAATGAGAAACGAAACGAAATAGTGAACACGTGCCAAATGTTCGAAGAGAGTTCGAGCAAAGGAATTTGTTCGAGTGGCGAGACGCGAAAATGATTGTTGTCCTGTTTTTCTAAATAAGCGTAAGGGGAGGAAAGAAAGAAAAAGAAAAAGAAAAAAAGAAAAAAATACCGACTCTTATCGACCATTTACGCAAACCGAACAACGATGTAAACGACCCCCTTTTTAAAACATTCGAATCTCTCCTACGAAGACTGATTTTTTAAACGTCGTTTCTCCCCCTCCCCAACGATCCTTGAAGAAAATCATCTTACGAAAAAAAAAGAAAAAAAAGAAAAGAAAAGAAAAGAAAAGAAAAAAAAATTAATCCCATCATTTCGATGCTCGAATAATTATATATTGTGTGTACGATACGTGAGGATTTTTTTGTAAATAATTAACGATAACTTGAAAGAACTTGATGCAACGTAAGACGATACCGTATCGTGCGTGTCGCGAGAAAAGAGTCCCTCTACAGCGCTGCGCAAGCAATATTACACTTAATCTAATCGATAGTCCCCCGACGATCAACGTTGGGAAGAAAAAAAGGTTAATTGAAAAAAGGTTAATTGAAAAAAGGCGATCTCACAGAGGACGACGAGTTCGTTCGTTTCTTCTTTTTTCTTTCTTTCTTTTTTTTTTTTTTTTCTTTTTATTCTACAAGTGTGACCACCGTCGTGAAAGGATCCTTGCCTCGCACGGTGTGGTTCGATCACTTTTTCCTCTCTCTCTCTCTCTCTCTCTTTTTCTCCCTCTTTCCTCTTTATACCTCTCATATAATCCTCCGCGTGTCGTCGATCGTCCGGCATACGGTATTTTCACGAATAAACGCGACCAAGTGCCGCGACACTCCTGCCAAGAAACGAGAGAACGGAGAAAAGCGCGATCTCGAGTTGCCAAATGTGTTATACGGTGACGTTGTGGATGATGAATTTACTGTATATAGATAGAGGATATGTATACACATAGCATTCTTTATTATAGGCATAGGCTTTCGGTTAATAAAAATACACCAAAGCTCCATCGATCGATCGATCATTTCCCATCCCGTTCCTCGCCTCCACGTATCCTTCGCATCATATCAGAGAGCGATATCGGACTCCCTTATCCACCACCCCCACGTTTCGATTATTGAACTTGCCTTGACAAGCTCGAAGACACGCTACACGAGGGTTAAATTTACACCAGCTGGTTCAATCGGCTTGCAGACATGGCACAATCAAGATTCAATCGGACGATAATCTAGCTACCCCGTACGTGAAATTCCATTACATGCTAATAGATTTATGGAACGATGCGCCGATTCGGATGGATTCTATATTCTATATTCTATTGGGTAAGTATGAATCTGTGAGGATTATTCGAAATTATTCCTTCCTTTCTTTCAAACATTTCCACGAGAATCGAAGGAAGAAGACTCTTTCCGTGAATAATCTTTTCGGAGGTGAAAGATAAAGCGCGAATGATATTTCCGTCGCACCGCGTATCGATGGACGACCCATTAAGTCACGTCTCATACGGATAATTAATTAATTATAATGGGGCTAGATCGGAGCGGCTCAGGGCGAGCTTGTGGCTCGCTTAGGATCCCTAATTAACTCCAGGTCAACCGTAGTATATCCCAGAGCGTCGATCAGTTCCGATCCGGCACGTCGAAACCAAAACAACTCGCTTCGGGGATACGTCGAATCGCTAGCTTCGATTATGCTTAAAACGAAACGAAACCTGTAACGATGTATCCTTTCGATCTGTGATCAAAAATATTCGAACGAAAAAAAAAAGGAATATATTTTTTTCCTGTATGTAGTAGTACCATCTTTATCTTTATCTCATCCATTTAGTTAATTCTTTCGAGTTCTTTCTCGTTTTCAATTATTAATGATTGACAGAAGAGAATTTTTTTCACAGCTTATAAAAGATTTTGCGGTGGAAATTTTAACGCGTAATAAAAAATGGATTTGCAGACATGGATTTTCAAAATGAATCATTATTTAACAATTTTTAATTACGCGTAATATATATATATATATATATATATTTCAAAACAGTAATTTTCCACGTGGTAATTTTTTTCCAAATAAATTGGCGCGTTTGAACAACAAACAAACATGGAAAAATGTAATTTCTATCGTTAATAAAAATCGTTAACGATTTATAATGAATAAAAAAACAGATTTAACCATTGAAATCGAAAATAAAGGGATTATTAATTATAAACGCGCCGTCACATTTATTCTTTCACAAATATTTCATTTTTTTTTTCTTTCTCGTTAATAATAATACTCGACTAATTCAGCTCCGAAAACGATCGCCCTCGAATTTTATTCTCGATCCGAACGAAACTTGAGAACGTGGAGCAGAACGGATTCGGATAATTCGAGTCGTAATAACTTTTCAAACGAATTTTTCGAAGGGGGTCGAGAAAACACTTTCGAATTAAATTTACTCCTCGGAATCGGACGGCGAAGAACCGACGCCGGCGTATACGCTCCGTGCGATGTATAGGATTAGCGTGGAAGCGGGGTAATTCAAAGCCGCGTGAAAGAAAATCCCGACAAAACCTGTACATTAACAGTGCCTCGGGCCCCGAGTTGTAATTACCAAGAGTAATTAACTTCGAGAGTTCGCTTAACCGACGCATGCCAGTCATCTATGCTATCCCTTTGGTGTCGCAACAAGGACATGTATATATATATATATATATAAAACATCATTCGGAGTGTAAATAATTAAAAAAAGAAAATCACGTACATAAAACGTATTGCTCGTTATTCTTCTATTGATAAATAAAATGGATTAGGAAGGGAAGGGGAGGAAAAAAAGGAGAAGTAAACAGTAAATATTTTGTAAATTCACACTTTCGATTCTGGTGAGACACCTCTCGTGAGTATCTCTCGGGATATACAGGATGTTAATATATTCATGGGATATATCTTTGAAAGGTTGAGCTCTCAAACGCAAAATTTGATCATGAAATTAAATCGTAACTTGATGAAGAAGCCTCGATCGATATTTTTATCTACGATTTTTGTGTTTATTTTAGCTATATCTTGGAATACTCCAAAAATATCGTCCTATGAATAAAACGTTAAATATTTCGAATTTTTTGTGGAATAATATATTTCGAAAAGAAGTATAATACATTCGAAGGAGAAACATATTCGATGTTTAACAAGAATATGATAATGAAACGGAGGATGCTTTTAAAAAAACACCGAATTTCATCGTAACGTGTCAAATGATTCTCAAAATACAAAGATTCGAAGCACGAGTTACGAATTTCCTGCTGAAAATGTGACGAACGAAAGAATACTAAACCACTAAAATACTAAACCAATCAAAAATTACATTTGATATCTCTCAAAAAATTGAAATTAACAGTTGTATAAATTAGACGAATATTTCAAAGAGAAATGATATCAATTAGATTAATTAGAGCGCAGTAGTAAGCGCTTCGAGTTAACGAGCTTTGATTTTTGATTTTTGGAACAATGGTATTTGCGTAATGAAAAGGTGCTGATTGGATAAATTATCGAAATTGGCGAGCAATGGGATTAAATATACCTCGTTATGCCCGACACTCGTATAATACGTTCGAGCAAATTGATAAATGGCGGAACAATAAAGACACCGTTTCTTTCCTCGACCCATTATTTCATCATGGACACATTCCAGCGAAATTCTGTCGGAACATCGAATTTATCTCTATCTCCCTCCCTCTCTTCCTCTCCCTCCCTCTCCCTCTCCGTGTTACGCAAGTCCTTCACTAACATCGCCATTGGCGCGGATGGCCTCTCATTATACCATTCCATCCGGTACCTATTGTTAACCCCAGCAAAGTACAAGGTGCTACCAGGGACCTTCGGTTCCTAAGCACGGCTATTAATAAGAAGCTTCCCGCTGCGGGGGACGGCCTGGACAGTAAGTACGGGCTACGGGGTGGTTTGTACGTCTGTTAAAATAAATTGGACCACTGTCAGGGTAAACCGTATTACGGCACCCCGAACGAAAGAGATTGCTCGACGAAAAGGATTAATGAATATCTGAAGGCAATATCCCTCGGGCTCGTTTCCCCTTAATCCTCTCTCTCTCTCTCTCTCTCTCTCTCTCCATGCACGCCTTCAAGATCAAGTATCGAGAAGGATTTTATTATATCCCATGCAAATATATCCGAACGCGAGATTTAAATAGACGGAAAAAAAAAAAAAAAAAAAAAAAAAAAAGAAAGGAAAGAAACGATAAATCAACCATCCCCCTCGTTTCCATCTTGATCGTACTTTCTGACCAACACGTATTGGGCGTATTCCCATCCCAACGACCGTGGAGGGAGTGAGAAATCACGAGATAAACGTAATTCTGAAACGGAGCGAGGGAATAATAATTTCACGAATACGGGTGAAACAGCGACGCGTGTTCACGCAAATTCATCAAACGCCGGGGGCGCGGTACCCAATTCATGGATACCGTTAATAAACGACAGAACGATTTACTCGCGAGCCCCGGCCATTCCTTCGTCCAAACGACGCGTTATAAATAACGGAGGAGGGAGGGAATCTCCCTCTTCCCCATACAGAGAAAATCCATTGTGTTGCCACCTTTCGCTCTGGGTTGGTCCGGTCGATGGTGGCGTGAGCTCTTCTCCAAGCGCACCTATTAATAAGGAGTGCAGCCATGCCGTTAGGGAGTGCGGTGTAACTGCACCTCCTCCTGGCAAGATAGGCAACTCGCATTCGCGAGGAGAAAAGGCCAGCTCTACCGATCCAACCCATTCTCCGTAGAGCACCCGAAGAACTTGGTGCAGAAGTGTGCAATTGTATTAGAGAGGGAGAGAAAGCCAAGTGTATCTCGCCAACCCAACAATATCATTTTTTTCTCCCTTTTTTTTTTCCCCTTATCCGTTGCCTCCACTGTTCCGCGTTTTTGCCCCTCGACTTTTCGTCCCTCCCATTGTTTCTCGGATCCCCTTCCCCGTTTCCCTTTCTCCTTCCCCCTTCTTTTTTTCCACTTTTTTCGTTCGTTCGTTCGTTAAGAACAAACACACATCGACCTCTCTCTCTCTCTCTCTCTCTCTCTCTCTCTCTCTCTCGATCGATCGATCGATCGATCGATCGATCGATCGATCGAGAAGAATTCGTTCCCGACGCAAGGAAGAAATTTCGTTCAACGATGATACGATGCAATGGAATCGGATCTCTTGGATGGGAAGGGGATCGAGAAATCGTCGCGCTCGTGAAAAAATATTCGGCCGCCGAAAGACGAGCGCAGGATGGATGCCATCCGCATCGACGTTTTTTCGCCACGATGGCGGCGACGCATGCCGTGATCCGATTTCGAGCGATCCCATTTTCTTGACCCCGAAGGAAGGGGATGTAGCCGGCGAAATAGCCCGGAACTTGGGAGAAAATATATATATATATATACACACACATAGCGGAAAGGAAGGAAGATGCTCGTGGGAAAGGCTGGTTCGCTCGTTCGAGCCAAGCAATCCATTCGGAATACGTCTCAATTTCGTCGTTATATAGCTGGTTGTAACGGCCTCCCGGGCCATGCTCGTCACGCGAACCTCGGCCGTTTACTAAATTACACCCTATTGTCTCGTTTCTGCGAGTATTCATTATGCGGGGGAAACGCGCGAATGGTAAAATACCAACGACAATAGATCTTCTGGATTTAACGTTAATGGAACTTCAGAATTACTTATACGCCCGCTCCGCGTTAAGCGACGATCTATTTTCCGCTCTTGGAATTATCGGGACTCGACTCGTCTCCTTCCTCGTTCTCTCGAGCGAGGAGGCCCGCGTCTTGCCTGCTCGCAACTTCCATAAACGATACCCGGGATACCTTCTTCTCTACACGCGGTGTATCGTGTTGCGGTATATACATACATACATATATATCGTGTTGAATTCCGCGTATTATGCATTCAGTAACAATCGTTACTACATTTTCCATAGCCAAGCTTCTCGTCGTAAAATCGAGGCGAAAAGGAAATTCTCTTCGAGTATCGAGTATTGCAATTT